ATCGGCATATTCGGTCTTGTCCACAAAGTCAGCTTTTCCTGCACCACATTGTCCGCCTCCACTCGAAGATGCATGACCATCCTCTGGCGCTTCGGCGAAGGAGGGCCGCTGTGCATGGCATCCCAAACCACCCAGTCGTCCCACTTTTGAGCCGCTTTACTCGCCTCCATCTCTTGCATGACCTCCCAATTGTGGTTGTCATGTTCCTGCTGGTTTCGGAGTGCAGTGCCAGCTCGTAGTTCCACTTCTGCCTGTCGAAGTCTTCCTGCTGCTGTTGCAGTTCTCGCCGTAGCCGGTCTTCTTCTTCCACCAGCGCATCCACTTCAGAGTCACCAGCCTGAGCTTGCGGGCCTGGGCTGTCGATGGTCTCCTGCGACTCTATGACCGTGGCTGCCTCCTGCTGGGCGGCTGCTGTCCTGGTTCTGGAAGTTTCCTCGGAGACGATAGCCTTCAGGAGCCGAAGCCACCACCTCTGGCCCCATTCCTTGTCTTCTCTGCTTTCCACCCCTTCAAGCTCCCCAGTGTTGTCACCATAGGCCACAACTGCCACCTCTAACGCTGCAGCACGTTGTCCCATGCTGCATCTTCCAGCATGGTTGCCATACCTTTTTGCTAAGCGGGGATTTAGGGTTTAGGGTTCAGGGCGTAGGATTCAGGGTTTAAGGGTTATAGGGATTAGGGCTTATAGGGATCATATAGGGACTGTACCGGGGATGTATAGGGAATTCACAGGGATTCTTACGCAAGGACTACGTAGGGATTTTTAAGGGAGTGTATAGGGATCATGAAAAAATGGAAGCGACGGTATTACGATGGTGGGCTTGGGCCGAGTTCCCAGGGCAGATCAAACTGCATCATAACTCAAGAGGGTAGTTCCCAGAATAAAGGGTACCTTAAAAAAAGGGTGAATCTAGGGGTAGGATCCCTTTTTAGTACCCATAATTTTTAGGTGCAGTAATATTGTCTACAACCAACAGGGTCCCATAGTTTTGGGAACAAGCCAAGTGCACAAGAAACAAAGGGTCAGCTGGCAAGCAGCTCACATCCTTCTTGCTTCCTCGCCAAGACATGGTTATAAACCTGAAGGATTAGCACGGAAGAGCAAACCCTAAACCCTAAACCCTAAATGGCATAGAGTCCCTGGCTCAAGGTTGCTTCCAGCAGAATATCCTACCGGCCATTGAATTTTATGATGTTACTAGGCAGGCTGCCAAGAAATTCCTAGCATGCTACATGCCCTCCACTGCGGTGTGATTTTGTTTACGTCGCAAGGCATATTTTCTGCCTAGCCCACCAAGCCCCCAACCTTCTCGTATGGAAGCAGGTATGCATGCTGACACGGGAAACGCGCATGTCTCAGTATACGTTCACACATGAGTTCATACCTCAGAGTTTGGCATGGGGGCTTGAGGCAGCCAGTAGTGCTGGTTGGGTCTACATGTCTGAAGAGACATTCAAGGTGAGTGGGTCGTCCGATGTCATCCAGCATAGGCCTGAAGGTCCAAAGCGACCACCCTCATCAGGCTGGGACAGTGTTGGAGGTAGCGTTCAAAATTTTGGTGCGCTGCAACGGGCCCTGGTCTGGTCAGGAGGGGTGCTGGAAAGATTGTTTGAGCAACTGCCGTGAATTCAGCAAGGCAAAAAGGCCCACTATGCGGGTGTCCTACGCCCAGAGTCAACTAGAGTCTTCTGCAGAAGGCCCAGGAGAAAAATAGGCATACGTCTCAGCATAGTGCCGACGGCCACCCCAAGTTTAAGAATCGGTCCCCTGCGTCGAACATGTTTTTGCGGTTGTTTCTCTGCAAATTTCCTTGGGCCAGCTTTGAAGATCATGTCTGGAAACCTCCACAAGGCCTCCCTGCCGTGTCCCAGCACTTTGGGGCGCAACAAAACGTAATCGCTTTTTTTTTTGTGTGCATGCAGTTTGCTTGTGCTCTCTCTCTCTCCCTCTCTCTCTCCAATGAATCGCTCAATCATATTCTGGGCATTCCTTCACGCTTCTCAGCTATTTCCATCTTTTACTTACATTAGTCTGCTCTGTGGTAATCTCCGGAGGCCAAGCACAGAAGACGGAGCAAGATCAACCTGCAAATGTGGTTACTTAATGGGCAGCACCCTAGCAAGCACACCCACTTATGATAGCATATATTCTAGTAGCTTGGAATATACTAGTGTCTTCTAGTACATTATAGTATGCTATAGTAGATTACCGCATGTTATGGCATACAATAGCATTTAGGAGGACCCCCCCACCCTGTAATAGTGGTATATAAGACTATAAGAGGACCCTAATATAATCCCTATTATCCCTTATAGTCACTATTACTGGGTGGGGGGTCCTAAATAACCTAAACCCTAAACCAACTAAAATAGCACACAGAACCCATTTTTCGGCAAGTGCTTTTGCATTTGCATCACGAGAACTCCCTGAGCCGGACGTTTCCGTCCTCAGAGCCACTGGCACATATTCGGGCCTGAAGCCGCAAGTGTGAGCCAAAGAATGCGTGAAAACTATAGTATACTTATAACTTAGTAGAATATAGCAGAATATGCTATAGTAGACTATAATATGCTATAGTAGACATGCTCTAATCTACTATCACATGCTCTAATGATACATCCTTTGCAGCCCCTCTGCAAATTTGTGCTTCATGATGTCAAACTCGAAACCCCATTACACCTGGCATACCATACCAGCCCAGCAGCATCGGGGCTGAAAGCCAAAGCGTGGATAGGACCTCGCAATCTGCTGAATTCAAGTTGTGGCGAACTTTGACAAACAGTTGCCCAAGGCAGAGACCAAAGTGACCACCTTTTCGCAGTTTCGGGTCCCACCTAGAAGTATGTGCTCATCAGGCATGCACAACCTGCTGAACTTGCTGTTTAGTAACGGCCCCTCTGCTGGACAGTGCTCTATACCTGCAAAGGAAGGCTGGGTCAGCATGCCATCCAAAGGTCCTGGTAATCACTTTCCCTGCGGCCTGGGGCGCCAGAGTCTGAAACTCTTGCAAACCGGAGTGGCAGTGGCTCAAACCTGAAGGGATGCGGCAAGATGATGCTGTAACAGATGGCACATACCCGCCAGGGCTTCGACTGATCAACATCTGTTCCAGCCTTGGCTAAGCAGCACAGCAACTTCTGCAACAGAGGAGGCTGCATTATTCGAGCCCTGCATTGCTGACACAAAATGAAATGGCAGCCGCGCAGCGCCAATCAGAGCAACGTCACGAGCATCTTGTCCACCACCTGCCAGCACTGTGCAGCAGCCTCCTTCAGCATCCTGCAGGTCAGGCATCAAAGTTCTAATAGGTTATAATATACTATAGTATACTCTAGTAGAATTTAGAAGACTATAGTATATTCTACAGTATAGTATAGTATATTATAGTCTATTGTTGAAAGCCAAAGGCGGGGATGGATGTGCAAGGTCCTCTGCAGCTGCATCGGCAAATGTCAATCTCAGCTCAACCAGCTGCAGAATCTCCAGGACGACAGCATGCGGCAAAACAGCTAGCCATGCTAGCTGCAGAATGGGAAGAATGGGTTTGGACAATGAGGAAACAAACTGAACGGGGGGTGTCTTGCTGCCCAGGGTCGAAGGGCGGACCGCCACGCAGTTCAGCGGCCGATCGCAAGTAAAGTTCCGCATGAGCTCGGGGGTCGGCTTATCTCCTATCACAGGGATTATATGGGGTTCCCAAATTAGGGGGTACCTATTGGAGGGCCTTATAACATGGACTATAGCATTTTGGGGTCTATTGAGGTACATTTAAGGAAGCTACCATATATAGGGGGTTACATGCAGCTGGAGACCCCCGTCAAGATCCATTCCGCGGCATAGAGCTCCCTTCCTCATACAATTGAAACATATGTGCATTGGAACCCGTGGGTACATATTTTTTGCTGGAAAAAAGAGCTTCTCCGGTGGATCATGGTGGGGTCTGAGCATATGGTTGTACCGTGATAGGTTCCCTTGGGATTATATAACTTTTACCCCAATGATGGAGAACCGAATGGAAAAGAACATGGAACGTGAAATCGCGACTGGGATTGTATAGTAGCTTATGGGGATGGAAGATATTTGGTATTTCCAAAAACTTGGGGCCCTGCTTGGGACTGCCTATCATGAAGTTGATAGCGTATGAGGTTCTAACATTCGGGTCTCCCTGCTCGTGGAAACTACCATGTGAGCCCTGGACTAAAGGTCTAATAGACTCCTGCAAGGCCCCGCTAAACCCCTACATGTTGCCCCATAGGCCCCCGCCAACCTAACTTACTTAGTCCGTAGCTCATGTGAGCTTTAGTCAATATTATCCAGATAATTCACGGACATGAGTTACTAATTCTGGACTATGCCAAGCTACAAGAAGGGTATGTCCACTGTTAAGGGCCTTTCATAAAGCCAATATTGACAATAGCTCAGGTGGCTCCACATAAAATCAGGGAAGCGAAGATATCCTGCCTGCCATGTCGTCGAAGTCGCTGCCTTCGCCATCTTCTGAGTCTTCCCGGGCAAGACACCACAAACGGACCTGGCCACTTCAGAGCATCAGAAATGGGTAGTTTGGATAAATAGCGCGACCCCAAAGTACTATAATCATTTCTCTAGGAACCACCCAAAAATGGTTCCCTAATTTTGGGAAACCACCTAGTGACGCAACAATGCGTCATGTCAGGCCTCCATATCCTGCCGACCGCAGGATACCATTAGCCTCCCGTCGCTTGGGAAGGCAATCCTGGACACCATCTCCTGCGAGGAAAGGGAAAATCACGTCTAAATGCTGCAAGGCCCTTCCCCGACACTGGTGCTTAGCCTTTGCATTCGATTTTTCCCACCCCGTATGAAAGAAAGCCCTGGTGAAACTGCGACTGTTGAGCGGCGCTCTCTTGACTCTCTCTCAAAGCTCAATGCCTGCATGTGTGGCGTAAGTTTTGCACGGATGCCACGCAACTGTAAATCGGAAGCTTGCAATGCGGCAGGAGCACGAACACACCCGCATGGGTCGGGAATCGCCACCTGTGTCACATGTTCACGAGCCAACTCCCTCAAATGCGTCTCTGCATAAAGCCCAAACCGCGGGGCACAAATACCGGTAGACCTAGCGCACCGGAAGCCAACAAACGCATCAGGGCGCTGCTTGCGCAAACCTGAGGCGCAGTTAATTCGAACTTTCATTAGCAGCCCTCTATTCACGGAAGGTTACACTTTGACAGTCTCACAGTCTTCAATAGTATACCCCTGTATAGTAGTTTCCATTTTCTTTTCCATTGTCCCAATGTAACCCCAATATTATGCCCCTAGGACTGGGCTACATTACCTTGCTGCAGCGAGAGCATATGGCCTGGTTTGGCATGTGCCAGAACATACTATACTATCAGAATATCAAAGCACATCATAGTATATTACAGTACATGTAGAATTTACCATGGTATACTATAGTATATCAGCAACAGGCGCAACCATGATTCCTCGTGCGCGGTCAACCTGGTGAGCTCTGACCCTGTGAGCGCATTCCAGAAAATGATGAGGCCACCATCCTTAGGGATCACATTGTTTGCCATCATCATACTCTGTTTTTCCATGTGAGCTAAAATCAAAACTCCTAGAATCCCCCTTAATGACCCCTATATTACATTACCCCGCCTGTAGACTCCCCTAAATAACCCCCCCTTTAAGGAGTTCAGAATGTTTAGACTACAGCCCATGTCCGTTTCAAGCAGATGCTGCCATGTGTCGTGCAAGGAGCACAGCCACTCCCAATAGGGACCAGCCCAAGCGACTTGCGTCGCTGCAGACGGCAGCCTCATGTCTTCGTCCAGCATGCTAACTTCATAGCATATAATAGTATACTATAGTATACCATAGCATACTATAAGATATTCTAGTCTACTACTTAAGTATAGAACATACTAGCCTTTTACGGGGAGTGGGAGCAGTCTTCCTGGAGGCAAAGTATCTGGGCGGCCAGCGTGGGCACCTCTATCGAAGCGCAGCACTTTGAGCTCAAAGCCTCGGACTTCGCTGCATCTCTACATACAGGTTATACAGGTATTATAGGGAATAATGGAAAAATGGAAACTATAGGGGTTATTGGGAGTATATAGGGTTGATATAAGGACTATAGGGAATAATGGAAAAGAACATGGAAAAGATAGGGAATATATGGATTATATTATAGGGATCAGAGGGAATATATTGGGGTTATATTGGGAGAATGGAAAATAAAATGGAAACTACTATCATAGCATAGTGGGGTATATTGGGGTTATATCGGGGATAGTGGAAAAGAAAATGGAAACTACTATTTCCAGTCCCAACACACAAGCTACCCGAGCCACGGACGCCCGCTGCAGAGAGCTCAAACACGCCAACTGCTGCTGGCTTTGCCTGCTCCCACGAGAATTTGGGTTTAGGGTTTAGGGTGCCCCTTTGAAGTGCAATGCGCGGCAAGCAAACGACTCGACAGGGTGCGTTTCTCGCATCAGATGCCTTTGGGCCTTTAGGTCCTGTTGTTTTCTCTTGGGCGAGGCGATGGGGGAACTGCTTTGGGCAAACATAACCCCAACAGTGGAGAATCAAAAGTGGAAGAACACGGAGAATCAAAAGGTAAACGACCTGGAAACTTCTTCTGAATGTAGGGTTATGTAGGGATTATGTACGGACATCAAGGCAAACAGAATAGAATGGAAAACGACACGGAAACTAGGATGATGTAGGAAGCGACGAGACGACCCGCAGGATTCCACACCACCACAACGAGCAAGACCACGCACACGCGACAACAACAGACAGCGAAACACCTCAGCCACAAAGTCTTGTGCCCTTGATAGTACGGGGATTTTGGATACCCCAACCCCCAAAAAAGAAGGAGCTATAGTCTAAACTCCTAGTATCCCCCTTAATAACCCTTATAGTAGTCCCCTATATAATCCCCTATATAACTCCCTTTTAGGAGTTTAGACTTAGCTCATACAACTCTTCTAGGGTCCTTATTCTAAGAGTTGAGGCTACCAAGGTCCTCTCATTACTTGAAATGCCAGCTGAATAAAGAACACAAGGTCACCAAATGCCCTGAGCCTCATGCCATGGGAATGATGAAGATTTACTGGGCTTAAGGTTTGGTGGTACCATTGTGTTTGAGAGGCTCAACCATCGGCGCTCTTGGCACTGCTGTTAATGCTCTCACGTGCTCACTGCATACTCTCGGAATTGCATGTGCGTTGACCAATTTCGAAATGAACACGTTTCCCCACAGAACACCCCACCAAGACAGGATTCTGGTCAGACTTGTGCGCGCGTACATCCACCCAAATGATTTTTGGTAAGTTCCATGGCCCCATGCCGTCATTTTTGCTGGGCCCGGGCAGCCGCAAGACTTTCCATCCTGGCCTTGCCCACCAATTTGCGAACCATGTGCAAAGAAGACAAACCAACATTTAGATGCAGACAGCTGTGCTGTTTAGCAAGCGAGACCCAAGAGCCTCTGCAGAGAAATGTCTTTGGAACCCCCTCTTACCCACCCTTTTGCTCAGGCCCAGAAACGAATGTGTGTGCGTCGATGAGTACTCCCGAGACATGGATGGATCAGCATCACCAAGGACACGAAGCTGCAGGGAAAGCCACTTCAGCGCATTTCTCAACAAAGCTTGAGCATGTTGACTGTTCAATCTGACCACATACCTGCCTTGAAGCCGTTGCAGCAGCATGCAAACCGCAAGCACAATCCGTGCGACCACTCAACGCAGCGCACAACTCCCGGCATTTCCACCTGCGCCACGACAACATCAACTTACCTTCTTTTCCCAAACTTACCGCTTGTTAGTAGAAAATAAAAGAATAGAATCCCTATATAATCCCTATATAGTTTATTCCCACATTCCCTGCTAACCACCAGTAAGCAAAGCAGGCAAGGATCGAAGCCTCGTATAACAAGTTGGCCGTTGCAGCCTGTGGCAAGGATTTTATGGGTTCAACTAGAACCCCCCTCTATACTACTCCCCCCTAGGTTCCCCCCTTAATTAAGGTTCTTTGGGGATAGTTAGGCTTAATTTAGGGTAAGTAAGGGAGAACCTAGGGGGGGGTAGTATAGAAGGGGGGTACTAGTTGAACCCATGAGGATTGCAAGCGAAGAGGGGCCGGGGAGCTGAAAGCTTGGTGGGCTCCTGGTTAGGATCCATGTGAGCTATAATCTAAATTCCCTAAAGGGGGTTATATAGAGGATTATATGGGTGCCTACTATGAGGGTTATTAAGGGGGATACTAGGAGTTTAGACTATAAATCGTATGATTGTTTCAATTAAAGAAAGGATCCTCTTTCTCTGCACTGAACTTCCGCTAACCCTCAGGCATTGCTACATGAGTGCTGGCTCCGACCACCAAAGCAAGGTTTCAACCCTCAACACCTCATCCGACTACTGGGTTGCTGTTAAGGAACTTAAATTAAGTGACTATAAAATGGAAACCCTATCATTTACTGTACACCCATATTGCGGTTTTTAATGTAAGTTCCTTAACAGCAACCCAGACTACGGGTGCCCGCCTCCCACAGCAATACGTAGTTGTCCGCCCCACAGGTCAGGAGCAGCCCTTCGTCATTGTTAAGGGAGCAGGCCCAGACGGCTCCCCTGTGCCCCTCGTACTTGCGAAGGCACCTCGGAGTTGTAGGGATTATACAGGGTTCTCAGATAACTAGGGAATAATGAAAGCTACTCTTTAGGGTTTAGGGCTTGGGGGTCCAGACATCACACTTGTCAAGTGAGTTCATCCAGGCTCCGCATCACAGTTAAGGTGTGTGCTCACCCTCGGGCACAGTCCAGGCAATCACCAACTTGTCCTTCATGGCAATGCCGGGAAGAATCAGGCTTGCTTGTGTTTCAGGCTCACATGTTGCTTCATGGCATCCTTTCCGCAGGTGTAGAGCGTCTTTCCAGTAGCATCAAATGCCACGTAGGTGACTGGGCGCGAGTGACCTGGCACGATGAAGGCCCTCAGCGACAAAAACGTGAATGCAATCCTTTCTGCTGAGTGATCTGCCCTGCAGCACAACGTCATGTTTCTGAGCTTTGTGGGCCTGAGAGTTTTGGCACGCACTGAGGATTGCTGGACACAGGAGAGATAATGCTTTGGTGACTTTGGTGTTCCATACCGGAACTCTACTAATCCCATCTTACCGAGGCCTGGTAGGGAATATGCGAATATCTTAAATAGGAATTATATGGGGGCTGCATTCCCTTATTCCCTACGATACCTCAATATGTACCCTATTGTACTCTACATTTTCTTTTCCCACTATGCTTATATAACCCTTACACATATATATATATATGCACTGTAAATTCCCTTATTCCCCACCAAGAACCAGCAAGCCATGCTAGGCCCCTGACCACCCTAAACTCTTGACCCTAAACCCTGAACCCTAAACCCTGAACCCCAAACCCTGAACCCCAAACCCTTAACCCCAAACCCCCTCAACCCTGAACCCTCTGGGCCCCTGACCACATTCAGGTTCAAGGGCTTGCGCTCTGCTGGCAGCGTTGGCACATCAGGCGCAGGAGCTGGCCCCAGGGATGGTGAAGATGTCGCAGGTTCTGGACCTGGCGGTTTAGGGCTTAGGGTTTAGGGCTCAAGGATTTTTATCGGATCTTTTCTCCATAAGTCCAGCTTACGAGATGCCTTGGGGCACGGTCCTCAGTTCTTCAACCACTGCTTAAGCGTGGTCTGCTTACCTCTACGCCCCACAGTATGACTTTGGGAGGAATCTGGTTCCGTTTGGGTCGATTCACCTCCGTTGTCCGGATGGACCGTATGCTCATCACTAAGGTCGTCATCAGGCAGGGTTCCCAGTGCAACATCATGGCTCAGGCCCTCACCCCAAGCTAAACCAGCAGCAATACTCTCATGAGACCCATCAGCCCCTGCAAGTAAAACGTACCCAGCAGCAAGCGCAGCATGGCTCACCGACCCTTCCATGCCTGCACTAGCGGAGGACATTCCTTCCGTATCAGCTGCACCGGGCACGGCATCACATGGTCGCGGCATGCCCTCAGACCCTTCCGTGACAGCAACTGACCCAGCAAGTTCATTTTCTCCATGCCCTTCACTGATGCTTGCAGTCCCCTCATGCATATATAGTGAGCACCACGACCTTCCCAAAAAGCCCCTGAATCTCCTTTCCCTGGAGCTCGACGAGGAACTGGCGGCGGATCGAGCCCAGGGTTTAGGGTTCAGGGTTCAGGCAAAATTAAGGGGACTCAATATAGACCACAAAATTCTATAAGCCTTATGAGTAGGAATCCTCAAAATGTTAATCCTAATGCTGGAAAACGCCTTGCGGTTAACATCAAAGATAGACACTCACCAATGCCCCTAAGGAACCACATGTGCACTCATGTAAAACTGGATCAAATCATGCTCCACATGCCTGTGGAAAATGATAGTTTCCAGAAGTAGGGAAATCCCAAAACAGATGATAATCCTCATGAAATTATGCAACCCCTAGATCACCCTTATTATCCCCTTTAATTAAAGGTACCCCTAATCTTAACAAACCCCCGAAGGAAAAAAAAGCCCGCCGGATGGGCCGTCAAAACCCGGTGGAGCGGAGCCTGCCGGCCTGCTCATGACCTGCATATACTGGGTTGCTGTTAAGGAACTTAAATTAAGTTACTATAATGGGGTTTAGGGTTTAGGGGTTTAGGGCATATGACCCCCCTATAATGGAGAATCAAATGGAAAAAGAAAATGGAAAATGAAATGGAAACTGGCGGAATATAGGGATTTAAGGAGCTTCAATTAAGTTACTATATTGGGGAAACCCTATTATTTACCATATACACCCATTATGGTAACTTAATTTAAGTTTCTTAACAGCAACCCAGTAGATTTACTGGTTCTTCGTAGGGAATGAGGGAATGCATCTATACAGATATATGTGCAAGGGTTATATAGGGATGACGGATAAGAACATGGAAACTACTACATCATAATGGGTTATATGTTGGGGTTATAGTCGGGAATAAGGAAATCGAATCACTATATAGTCCCCAGATGGTTTGTTTCCTTGTTCCGTAGCAAGCCCCAGGAAGTATGGGTCCCCAAAATCAGGATCCCGTTGCAGTACCACTAAATACTAGGTGCTGTAGTATCATCTATGCGGGAATCTTATCCCTATATAATTCCCAAACAATGTTTTCGCTTGTTCCCTACTAACCCCCAGTAAGTATGGGTGGGATGTTCCAAAATTAGGTGGGTAGTGACATTTTTTCTGGTTTCCCCAAATTAGGTGCAGTGATATACTTTTTCGGGTTTCCCCCGAAAAGGGGATACAATAATATGCTAGGGGGTGCCCTATACATATATATATATATGTGCACACGTCACCAGTGGGGTTTCCCAAGCTTAGGGTGTATTATATATATATATATCTATTTGTGTGTAGGTATATGCAGTGTGATGAAAATAGATATGTGCATGTATACCTGTACACACCTATCTACATACATGTGTATCTATACATAAATTAAGAGGGTTTCTCAAAAATAGGGCGTATCGTTGGTACACACATACATATTCATATAGAGGCCTCAGGGAAGCTAAGCTCGCCACCGGCCGTGGTTGCACGCAGCCGGAGAATTCTGAAATTCATTCAAAAAGTCAAAAAGTTTCACTTTTCGACTTTTCGTGCAGTTT